TCATGGTTAAGAGCACTGGCAGTTCTTCCAGAGGACTGGGGGTTCAATTCCAAGCATGGTAGCTCACTACCTTCTTTAACTCCAGTCCTAGGGGATCCAATGCCCTCTTCTGCAAGTGCAGTCCAAGGGGATCTGCCATCCTCTTCTGGCGGCCACAATGCACATGGGTATACAGACACACATGCAGGCAAAACATGTACATCAAATAAAAATAAAGGTTCAAAAATTAAAAAAGTAAATCACTGGGTGAATGGACTCATAAAAATGAAACATTTTGGGGATATCTTAAAAAGAATGAAATTCTTTTGTGCTTTGACATGAATGAACTTTGAAGACATTCTAAATGAAATAAGCTATACAAGAAAGAACAAACATTCTATAGTCTAGCTTATATGAAATAGCTACAACTACAAATTTAACAGACATAGAAAATAGAATGGTGGGTACCAGGGGCTGAAGCAGAGGAGCATGGGAGTTATGTGGAATGCGTACAGGACTCAGCTGGGAAGGCGTCATAGTGCTGCAAAGCATGTAGATGTACGTATTTAATGCCACAGGATGGTGTGCTAAAAATGGCACGTGAAAGATTAAAGTGAAAATTTTGATGTATATTTTACCACAAAGAAGGAACAGGAAAGCTCGATGGGGACCTCACTTCCTGGTCCCACTTCCCGGCCATCACTGAGCCCCGTGCAGAGCCTCTGCTCAACAGATACCTTTCTGTCTGCCTGGCCATGATCATCACCACTATCCTTCCTTCCTTCCCACCCTTCATCCTAGGCACCGGTCTCTCTTATTCAGATTTGCCCTCCAAGAAACATTTGGCATGAAACAGGTCTCTGTTCTTTTCGGAGAGGGAAGGGTTGGTTTTGTTAAGACAATGGGGTCTCATGTAGCCATTCTGGCCTCAAATTTGCTAGGTAGCCAAAACTGCTCTAAACTCCTGGCCCTTCTACTCCCTTCTCAAGTCCTGGGACTAAAGGACTGTACTACCTTGCCTGGCAACAATAAGCAGTCTTGGTTCCTTGCCACAAAAATAACCCTCATGGACTTCGGGGATGGCTCACTGGGTGAGCGCACTGACAACCAAAGAACCCAAGTGGGAAGCTGGCTGTGGTGACAACCATCTGTAATCCCAGCACTCCTACAATGAGACGGGAAAGAAAGAACTGCCTGGAAGATCACAGGCCGGCCTGCCTGGAGTGCACACCACAGCATAGCACAGCAGCAGAAATAAGAGACCCTGCTTCAACAAGGTGGAAGGTGAGAACCAACCCTTAAAAACTGTCCTATGAGCCGGGCGTTGGTGGCACACACCTTTAATCCCAGCACTTGGGAGACAGAGGCAGGCGGATCTCTGTGAGTTCGAGACCAGCCTGGTCTACAGAGCGAGTTCCAGGACAGCCTCCAAAGCCACAGAGAAACCCTGTCTCGAAAAACCAAAACAAACAAACAAACAAACAAACAAACAAACAAAAAACTGTCCTATGACTTCCATACGTGTACACCTTCAAAGAAAACAGCTCTGTCGTAAAATAGCACTGATCTTCATTCCTCTTTGCTGGGTATCTCAGAACTACGACTGTTTTTGATGAACACTGAGCCTGGCCATGTGTCAGGCAAGGCAAAATCAAAGATAAATGATCTTCATGGTTCAGTTTCTAGAAAAGCTTCTAAGACAAACTGAGTGCAATAATACCTGTCTGAAAACCTAGTATTTGGGAGGTGAAGGTGTCATCCTGCACTACAAAGTGAGTTCCAGGCTAGCCAGCCCAGTACATGAGATTCTATCCAAACAAACAAACAAACAAAAAACACCTAGCCAGGCGTGGTGCTCAGTTTTTTGTTTCTGTGTGTTTTTTTTTCAAGACAGGGCTTCTCTCTGTAGTCCTGGCTATCCCAGAACTTGCAGAGATCCACCTGCCTCTGCCTCAAGTGTTGTGATTAAAGGTGTGTGTCACCACCACCTGGGGGTGCTCACAATTTTAATGCCAGCATGGCATAGGGTCAGGTGGAAACAAGTGATCTCTATGAATCTGAAGACAACCTGGTCTATATAGAGGGTCCTAGTTCAGCCAGGGTTATCTAGTAAGACACTATCTCAAAACAAACAAAACAAACAAAAACCTCCTAAGGATGAAGCATGTGGGATTGAGTAAATCCAGAGGCTCCAAGGGATGATGGAGTGCCATACTCAGGAGGACCTTAACCACAGTTAAGCCTTTGCTGGGCAGTAACTGTCCTTAGTCTGTATTTTATTTTATTTATTTATTTATTTATTTATTTATTTATTTATTTATTTTTGGTTTTTTGAGACAGGGTTTCTCTGTGGCTTTGGAGGCTGTCCTGGAACTCGCTCTGTAGACCAGGCTGGTCTCGAACTCACAGAGATCCGCCTGCCTCTGCCTCCCAAGTGCTGGGATTAAAGGTGTGCGCCACCAACGCCCCGGCCTTTTTTTTTTTTTCCGAGACAGGGTTTCTCTGTATTGTTTCGGAGGCTATCGGTCCAGCCTGGCCTCGAACACACAAAGTATTTTTTTTTATTTTTATTTTTTTGGTTTTTCGAGACAGGGTTTCTCTGTGGCTTTGGAGGCTGTCCTGGAACTCGCTCTGTAAACCAGGCTGGCCTCGAACTCACAGAGATCCGCCTGCCTCTACCTCCCTAGTGCTGGGATTAAACCTTAGTCTGTATTTTAAGTCACCATGTGTGTGCTAGGAATGGAAATCAGGACTTCTGGAAGAGCAGCCAGTGCTGTTAACATTTGACCTAGGAGCTCTAGCCTTTTTTGAGATGCTGACACTACCCTTGTACCCCTGATTTAATCACTACAGAGTCCTAAGAACTAGTGATATGAAAGGAACAAGGTTGGAGACACCAGGATCTGTCTTCTAATTCCCATTCTTGTGCTTATAAATTGTGTGCTTAGGGCTAGGCGTGGAGGCACACACCTTTAATCCTAGCACTAGGGAGGCAGAAGCAGGCAGATCTCTGAGTTTGAGGGCAGTGTGGCCTACAGAGTAAGTTCCAGAACAGCCATGGCTACACAAGAGAAACAGGTATTATTTATTGTTTTTAGTCCCAAAAAACCAAAAACAAATACTGCATATCATGGGAAAATAGTACCACCTCCCCAAACACCAAATGCCAACAGCACTCCTGTTCTGGTCTCTTCTATATGATGCAGCCAGTGACAATTTTAAACCCCACAAGACTGGAGAGACCACCCAGGTGCTCTTTAACCAAATGATCAAAGGCAATGTCACCAACAGTGAAATAAAATGACATCAAATTATAAGGAGGACACATTGTGAAGATTCCAGCCTCTAACACAGAACTGGGATGTGGACTTGAGGAAAGGGCGGACAGCCAGCTTCAGAGAGTGTGGGCCAGGGGTCAGGCGAACAACTGGGAACTTGGATAATGTGAATAACTAGTGAAAGTAGAAAACGCCATGTTTATATGCAATATATATATAACTTTATATTTATTTTGATTTTTCAAGTCAGGGTTTCTCCTTGTAGCCCTGGCTATCCTGAAACAAACTCACTCTAAATCAGACTGGCCTCAAGGATCCACTTGCCTCTACCTCCTGCCTCCTGAGGTGTGTATATATTATTTATTTTGAGACAGGGTCTCCCTATGTAGCCCTAGCTGTCCTTGCTAAATTGACTGGGCTGGCCTCGAACTTAGAGATCTGCCTGACTCTACCTCCTGAGCACTGGAATTAAAGGTATGCCAGCTGAACCATCTATCCAATTCCACCAGATATACACATTTCTATGAGAAACAGAATAGCCTACTATCTCTGTTTAGGAAGCAGACTAAGGGACACATATCTGCAGTGTGATCATCAATGGTTTAAACTAGCCAACCAGCAAATGCCTGGAGAGCTCGTGTACAGGCAGACAGGGAGGCAATGAATATTCATTGTGCTGGATGAGGACACAGAAGTTATTTCTTCCTGAAACTTTACAGCCTTCTCTGGGACCCACTCAGCTCTCCTTCTCTAGACCTTGCTCTATGTGGTCAGAAAGTGTGATTTCTCTCTCTCTCTCTCTCTCTCTCTCTCTCTCTCTCTCTCTCTCTCTCTCTCTCTCTCTGTCTCTCTCTCTCTCTCTCTCTCTCTCTGTCTCTCTCTCTCTCTCTCTCTCTCTCTCTCTCTCTCTCTCTCTCTGTCTCTCTGTCTCTGTCTCTCTCTCACTGTAGACCAGGCTGGCTTTGAACTCAGAGATCCAGCTGTCTCTGCCTCCTGACTGCTGAGATTAAAGGCACCCCCCACAAGGCCTGCTGAGATCTCTTGATGACTGGGTCAGCCTTGTATCCAGTTTCAGAATAAGCCTAATTCCCCAGGGACTTTGACCCTAAAGGTCTGCCTCAAGGCCTAGAACAGGGTCAGTCTGGAAGGTGTTATCATGGCACAGATCCATTCTAACTGACTTTATGGTAGGGCCAAGACAATTGAATTGGATGGAAAGAAAAGGACTTGGACTCCAGGTAGACCAGAGCAGGAGCCAGAACTCTTAGGGAATGGTGTGTGCCTATGTGGGATCCCATCTTTGGAAGTCTATAAACTGAAGGAGGTATTTTCCCCTAGGAAAACCTCCTACCCTGCTGCTCTATTAAATAAAGAAATGGTTAAATCCCAGCACTCGGGAGGCAGAGGCAGGCGGATCTCCGTGAGTTCAAGGTCAGCCTGGTCTACAGAGTTAGTTCCAGGACAGCATCCAAAACAATACAGAGAAGCCCTGTCTTGAAAAACCAAAAAAAAAAAAAAAAAGAGGGGGGGGATATACAAACTGAAATTGTAATAAGTAATCTTAAAAGTTTTTCACAACTGAATGTGGTGGCCCACACCAGTCATCCTTGTATCACGAAGGTTGAGGCAAGAGGGTCATGACTTTGAGACCAACATATACTAGATAGCAAGACCCCACCTCAACAAAACAAAATGTTCTCCATAATCCAGAGGGAGATAACTAAATGTCCTGATTTGATCGACATGAGGTTGGGCATGGACTCAGTCATTCAACAAGTACTGAGGACCTACTGTGCATCCTAAACTCTATGGACACAGTGGTAAAACAGACTAACCCCCTAGTCTCAAGAGCTTACATTCCAGTGAAAGTAATTATTGACAGCCTACATTACTTTAAGCATACTGCCTGTAATAGATTTATTCATTCTTGAGGCATTCTTAGTATTATTCCACAATACTAAAGCAGAAAGGTTAAGTGTCCAAAGCCATACCTGTTTCTTGAGAACTGGCCTCGAACTCACTGTGTAGCTCAGTATAAGAGTGACCTATTGATTCTCCTGTCTTCACAAGTGCTGGTTCATGCAGAGCTGGGGCTCTAACTCCGGGTCTCATGCATCCAAGGTGCTCTACCAATAGAGCTATGCCCCTACAGACACACTTCTATTTGTACTCACTGGCCTGGCTCAGACCCTTATCCACTCCTCATCCAAGTCCTCAAGAGGGCTTCTCTCCTCCTGTACCCCATCCCTCTGTCAACTTGAGAGGAAAGGGCCAGTTAAAGCTTCTAGCAGGAGCTTTGAGGGGTTGCATCTGGAGTCCCAAACCATCCACCCCAGCATCCACACGCTGTTCATTGACACCAAGCTGAACTTTGAGGGTCTATGGGAATATTGTGGTTATTGACATTGGGCTGGGTCACTGTCTCTTTCTCCCCCACCAAGGATTTAGGACTGACTACTGTAGATTGCATTCATATCCAACACATTTACCAGCTCTGTGCTGACTGAGGGAACAGCAGTGAATGGGCTCTAGCCAGAGACCTTTCTCATTACTTAGTTCTTACAACTACCATGTGAATAATTCATCTTCACTCCACAGCCCAGGACTCTGAAGCTCAGAGAAGGGAGGGGATAGGGCAAGCTGGGAAGAACAGGATTTGCTGTAGTGGGCTAGGCTCTTCAGCCCAGGCACCTTGTTCGGTGCCACATCTCCAGTCAGGGAAGAATGGAGAGAAAGGGAGCAAAGCCTAGGAGAAACCAGGGAGGGTGGCTCACGAAGGTAATCCCAGCACCAGAGAGACCCAGGCAGGCAGATTCCCTTAAGTCCATCTTCAGCCTGGGCTATCAAGAGAAACCCTGTCTCAAAACCAAACAACCAACAATCAGCCTCCCTACTCGTGGTATGAGAGTGTCTGTCCCTTCAAACAGCCCATTCACTCCAGGCTTCATCTTCCTTTCCCTACCACGGTCCCTGCTCCAATCCAATCCATTAACACGGGTCACTTAATTTAGTGGTACCAGTTCTCGCCTCTATTTTAGCTTGGAACAAGACTCTTGGCTCCAGTTTCCTCTTCTTTAAATAGGTTCACTTTAGATTAGTGAGGTGGCCCATGTCCGTAATTCCTGCACAAGACAGGATGATTAGGAGTCTGAGCCACATGAGACCCCGTCTCAAAAGCAAAAAACTAAATATATAATTTATTAATTAAATATAATTTTAAAAATACATAAAAATTAAGTGAAATAAAATACAAATAACATTTGAAAACCTCATCTCCCAAAATGGGAGAGATTAATGTGTTTTTAGCGCTGCACTGAGGTATTGGTGTTTAGCGAGAGCCTGAGAAGATGGGCTCGGTCACTGGGCATTCGAAGGCATCACAAGGATGCTCCAGGGTCTGGTGGCCCCAGGACTGACTGCTCACTGCCTTTGCCTTTCTGCCAGTCCCCGCAAACACACACACACACACACACACACACACACACACTCGGGGCTCTCTGTGGGCCCTCTCCCTGCGTCCACAGGACGGACGGGCTGCACCAGCCTCTGCCCAAGCAAGCTTCGGGTCCCCAAGCCGTGGTCAGCTCATCTCGCGCGCAGGGCACGGGCATCCCCACTCCCCCAGGCACAGCCTCAGCCGCCCTCCTCTGCAGGCACCGAGTCCAGGCGGCCGGGTACGCATTGCCGTCGGGGCGCGACCGCCTCTGTCGCCGCGGCAAACACCATTGCCTGCGCGTCCCAAGGCTGTTCCACTTACGGTTCCAGCCACCGCTCCGAGGTGCCCGGCCTCGGCTCCGAGGTGCCCGGCCCCGGCCCCCAGGCCTCCCGGCCCGTCCAGCCCCGCGCCCATTCGGGCCGCCGCGGCCCGGCCCGGCCCGCGCACCCCGGAAGTGGGCGTCGGATCCCGAGGAGCCAGGCCCGCGTCCCGCTGCCGTCCAAGAGCGGCCTCCAGGGTCACCTACTCGGGGCTGCACCGCTCCGCGCCCCCGCGGGTCCGCTCCGGACTTACCTGCCCCGCCAGGTGAGCCGCCTCCAGTCAGCCCTTCCCCCGCCCCTCTCGGCACTCACCTGGATCGCAGGTGAGCGTCTCGCGGGAGCGCGGCACGGGTCGCCGCTGGGGACACACTTCCCGGCTCCGCGAAGCGCGGCCGCGCACCTGGCCGAGGCCCCGCCCAGCCCCGGCCTAGGCCAGGAGAGTGAGGCCCGGAGAAGGGCAGCCAAGCAGCCGTGCTCAGGGCCCTTCTGCTCTGTAGTCCAGCTCCTGGAAGTCTCTGAAAGGCCCTGGAGTGCCTTACCGGCCTTCAAAACTCCTACTCAAAGAGCATGGCTGCTGGGAAGCTGTCCCTGACCCTTGAGTCCCTAGCTCTATTATGTGGAATAATTCTCTGTCCTCAGCAGGTTGTTTCTTTCTTGTCTTCTGTCTCCTCTTTTTAGCGTCTGACCTTGAAGGTAAGGTCTGGTCTTGTTTCCCTAGTACAGGGTCTGGCATATACCAGACGCTCAGCAAATAATCTTCACTGTTTGAATAGGTAGACAGTGATCTGTTGTGGGTCTGTCGGCATACTCACTTATTTAGGTTTCTTTTTTACATTAAAGTTTTTTCATGTGTGTGGGTTTCTTGCCTTCATGCATGTACATCTGTGTGCCACTTGTATCCCTGGTGCCCGCAGGGGTGAGGAGCAGAAGCGGGCATGGGAGTTACAGTTAGTACGAGAGAATTGTACTTGGGTGCTTGGGACTTGGAAGAGCAACCTTTCCAGCCCCGCTTAGTTAGGTCTCCCCATCCAACTATAACCAGATCCTATCCTGCTTAGCTTCGAGATCAGACTAGACCACGAGTGTGTAGAAGGGCGTGGCAACAGAATGTTTAGGTTTTCTGAGATGGTGTCTCATGTGTCCCAGGCTAGCCTCCAACTCACTATGTAGCCAAGGCTGGCCTTGTTGTCATGTCGGGAGTGCTGGGATTCCAGGCATGTGCTGCCACACCCAACATGGGCTCTGCTTTCTTTCTTTGCTCTGGGACAGAGCTAGGGGCTCCCAGGTGGCTGGTCAGTTCATCAGTGTATGCAAATGAGCCACTGAATTAGCACCTACCTCACTGCAGAGGCCTTGTGTCCTGAGTAGAGTGAAGGAGTCGTCAGGCTGTATGGCCCTGAGACACACATGGGAGGTGAGGTCCCCAGAGACCAAAAAGCATGGTGGCTGCTGCTTTCCCCAGGAAGGCCCCATAAGAGGTAACTAACCGTACTGGGTGGCATGAAGTCGAGGCTTACTCTCCCCTGACACCTGCTCCATAACTGGACTGCAGACGTGACTGCAGAGGGTCTTTACGGTCCATGCTAAACCCCTCACTTGCATCGTATTGTTCAATCTTCCACTAACCTTCAACTGACAAGTCTTGTTCATGGTAGCTGCAAACTGGAACCACACAAATACCACTGACAGGAGAAAAAGGAATGTGGGAAGTAGCTGTGAGTCACACACACAGACACACACACACAGACAGACACACACACACACACACACACACACACACACACACACACACGCCATTGCTGATGTAGAAACTATGCATAGAAGGGAGACACTCTGTGAGCAAGGTGCTTTCTGTCTTTCAATTTCCTCTCTGTAGATAATGGAACTTCTCTAGCCAGATGTGATGGTGTACTCTTGTAATCCCAGAACTTGGGAACACTTTGTCACAAAAACCAGACCAAAACCAAGACATAAGGAGGCATGCCTGCTACCTCTGTGGGGGCATAGTGGTGCATGCCTTTAGCCCCCCAACACTCCAGAGGCTCTGTGTGTTCCAGGTCAGCCTGGTCTATGTAGTGAGTCCCAGGATATGCAGGGCTATGTAGAGAGACCCTGTTTCAAACAAAAAAAACTGCAAAGCAGTGGTGACACATCCCTTTAATCCCAGCATAAGGAAGGCAGAGGCCAGCCTTGTCTACACAGCGAGTTTCAGGACAGCTAGGGCTGTTACACTGAGACAACATGTCTTAAAAAACAAACAATAGAAAGAAAAAAAAACAGAAGATAACCTCTGTTAACTGGGGAGGAGGAAAAAAGCTAACAGACACGTAGGAGATGACAGATCCAGGAGATCACTGGGGCAAATACACACAGGTGTGCTGCTCCCTGACGACAGACCTTCCCACCACAGACATCCACATTTCCTTCTGGGGCAAGGGGCGCAGTGTACTCTCATTTGGAACTAAGAAAATGAGTCCCATGGTGTGCACGGTACTTCCGTGTACTCTAAGACCAGTAAGGCCTGTTCCGGGTACTTTACAAGACGATCTTGCTGTGCTGTGCCAGGAGGAAGTGTACAAGGGTCTGGGAGAAATGTCCAGCTCATTGGCTGCTGATGGCACAGCCTTGATCCCAGCACTTGGGAGGTACTTCACTCTGTGGATTCAAGGCCAGCCTGGTCCACAGCGTGAGTTCCAGGACATAAGGGGCTACACAGAGAAACTCTGTCTCGAAAAAAAAAATCAGTCAACAAACAAAACACACAAAAAAAAAAAAGAAAAAGAAAAAAGAGGAGAGAAGAGAAGAGGAGAGAAGAGGGGAGAAGAGAAAGAAACCCTCAACAAGATGTGTTGCCACAGCTCATCATTCCAGCAAGATCAGGAGTTCAAAACCATCATGGGCTACAAGGGACTATATTATCTCAAACCAAGCAAAAACCATGGTTCCTGGTAGCCTCAAAATGGAAATACAAACAGCACTAACAGGAGATGAGGAAAATTTGGAGAAATCTTTACAGAGCACAGGGGACAAATGGAGACCAGAGGCATGTGCTAGTGTGTGCCTAACAGGCCAGTCCTGGATGATTCCATATAAGAGGGGTCCTTTTCATGTAGCCCCAAGCCAACCAAGATCACGTTGTTTAGGCATAATATTAGCCTGAATCATATGATGTTGCTGGTATCTGGACTATTTTGACTTAAAAAACAAAAAATTCATAATCCAACCTATTTCATAAATCAACAAAACAATTAAGAGCCATGGGGCAGATGAGAAGGTTCAGTGGGTAATGGTGCTTGCGGCCAAGCCTAATGACCTTGGTTCCAATCATGGGAAGAGATCCATGGAAGTATGTTGTCCTCTGACTACTACATATGCTCATGGCATACCCCTTAAATGAATAAATCAGTAGGTACATGAATTTTGTTGGTGGTGGTTTAAAATTTTTAAAGCTGTTTTTAATTGTGTGTGTGTGTGTGTAAATATGTGCATGTGAACGCAGATGCCCACAAAAGCCAGATGAGTTGGATTCTCCTGAAACTATAGTTTACAGGCAGTTGTGAGCTGCCTTACCTGGGTGTGGGTCCTCTGGAAGAGCAGTATGTGCTCTTAACTCAGCCATCTCTCTAGCCCCTCTCTTTTTTTTAGCTTTTTTATTATTTTTTTTAATTTTGTGAGCATTGACTAGTGTTTTGCCTGCATGTAGGTCTGTGTGAGGGTGTCAGATCCTCTGGAAATGGAGTTACAGACAGTTGTAAGCTGCCATGTGGATGCTGGGAATTGAACAGCCAATGTTCTTAACCCCTGAGTCATCTCTCAAGCCCCATTGTTGTTTTTTTGAGACAGAGTCTTACTATGCAGTCCCTGCTGGCCTCAAACTCTCAGAATTCCACTTGCCTCTGCCTTCCAAGTGTTGGGATTAAAAGTGTGTGTAGAGTGCAGCCTTCCTGCCAGCCTGGTTCCAGAGCCACATCAGTCCCAAATGAACACACCCGAGGCTATATTAATTATGAAGCTGTTGAATGTTTGCTTGTTTCTTACTGGCTAACCCATAATTGTTAATCTAACTATTTCTCTTACCGGAGAAAAGGGTCCGGACATCTTACTTCTCTGGTGGGCTACATTGTCTGTGCCTGAGTCTCTCTTTCCCAGAATCCTCCTCAACTCCTAGTCCCACCTATCTTGCTTCCCTATTGGCCAACAGTGCTTTATTGACATATACATAGGACTTCCCCATCATCGCCTCTTTTCCGTCTAAATAAAAAGAAATATTTTAACTTTTTTTTTTTTGGTTTTTCTTTTTTTTTTTTTTTTTTTTTTTTTTTGGTTTTTCGAGACAGGGTTTCTCTGTAGCTTTGGAGGCTGTCCTGGAACTCACTTTGTAGACCAGACTGGCCTCGAACTCACAGAGATCCGCCTGCCTCTGCCTCCCGAGTGCTGGGATTAAAGGCGTGTGCCACCAATGCCCGGCCTGAAAGATTTTAACTTTAACATAGTCAAATTATATGTAACAGAACAGTTATCAAGTAAGAACATAGTTACAATATTTTGTCCATTAACATTTAGTAAGATTTAAAGAAAGTATTATCTATCCTATCTTTGTGAGTCTAAAGTCTTATATGTAACTTATCTTTTATCATAACTAAGGAAAACTATGATTATAACTATCTGCCTTCAACTCTATCAAAGACCAGACCACAGAAGGATAATATATAAACACTAGAATTGACAGAGACATCTTGCTACCTGGACAGTCACTCAAAGTTCCTCTGTAATGTTGGGGCATCCATCTTCAGCCCATAGGCCACAGTGTGTCTGGAAGACTTCTCAGTAAAGCAGGAAATTTCAAGCTGTCCATCTGCATTGGCAGTCCATCAGTCATTTTCTGTGTCCTGCAGAAAGTCTGGCAGACTCTTCCATGAAGCAGGAACCCTGTAAGACTGAGTTCAGCAGTCACTTTTCTGTGGGTCCTGCATGTCCAGTTTATACAGCAACAGTCAAACACTCTAGGCAAGAGCATTTCTTGCCCAAATGGCTAACTTGCCATGTTGAAAGCAAACTCCATAACGAGTTTCTTTGATGCCCATCTTCCTCTCAGATGTAATTGATGCTGCCAGGAGCAGACATTTCTCATTGTCAAGAAAAACCCTAAACCATTTTAAATGCCATTTTCTGGAGGCCTTTGAAAGGTTTGAAGACTATCTATCTCAAATACATCTCTATATATCTAGAAAACCTAACCTGCCTAACTATAAGTTCTGACTATTATAAGTAACTATCTATAATCTGTATTTAATTATGTATTACATTTTAAAAGATCAGTATAAACACAATACTTAAACAAGAGGAGAAATATACATATCACAAAATTGACCTTGAATTTGTATCAATAAATGAAAAACTATACCCATAATAAGTATTCGTTTCCATACCATAATCCCCCTTTTACCATTAAAAAGAGATTGGCTGTGATCATTAACCAATTATAAGCAACCCCACTTAAATGAAAACAAAGATTTATAAACAATATGGGTATTTGAACGTTGCTCATTCCAAACTGCTTCCTGCTGGATGGGGGCGCTGTTCATACCATGGGGATCATGACAAAACTCAGAAACCTGTGTGAGTCCTTATTTTTGGGGTCTGTAAGGCTGCATCATCTTAGCTGTCTTAATTGTTGGAACACCTGGCCCACTGCTTCCGGGGGTCTTGGTGCATCAAACCACAGAAGGAATCCATAGCTTTCCATTTTCTGTGGAAACAGAAATAAAATATCTTTTCCAAAGTAACATATCCTTATACTTAAATTTTGAAGTCAAGGCATTTTCAAAAAATATAAGTTGAATTAATTCAGCAGCATTTATAATCAAGTGTACTTTAGTAGTTGTTCCTTCCTTAGCAAACAAAAAAACTGAAAAACACAATAGCATACAGTATCCAGACTCTCTGTGTATTTTCCATCTTTACGTGGCTTATCTATTTATCTATTATTACACTATTTCTTTGACTTTTATTTGTTTTCTCTCAGACAGGGTATCTCTGGAAATCTGCCTGCCTCTGCCTCTGGAGCAAATCCTACCGGTGTGCGCCACCACAACCAGCTTCTCTATTTATTTATCGCTATGCCGTTTCTTTTTCTCTCTCAATCCTACATATATTTTTAAACACACTGTAAACCTTTAGAGGTTTTTCTTAATCCAAGTCTGACTTTACTGTAAATCTTTATGTTTTTCTGGCCACGTGTCTTATCTGTTAAAAACCATGGCTGTTTAAACTGCAGTTTTTCCAAGATGGTGGGCGTAAGTGTGACTTTAGCTCATGGCCTCAGTCTATGCTGACATCCAGCAAAAGCTGCCACCTTGGAGATATGATCACTGCCACTTCCAGCTGCACGGACACACCTTTCAATTGTTACCAGAGCCTCTTAAAAAACTTTTTTTTCTTTATGCTGAGTCAGGAAGACTCCCTTAAGTGAGCCATGTGAGTCTCTGCTTGTCTCTAGAAAACAGAGCTCACCTGAGAAAAATGCTGCTATCAAGAAGCCGTGCTTTGGGCTGGAGAGATGGCTCAGCAATTAAGAGCACTGACCGTTCTTCTAGAGGTCCTGAGTTCAATTCCCAGCAACCACATGGTGGCTCAAAACCATCTTGAATGAGGTCTGGTGCCTTCTGCTGGCATGCAAGCAGAAGATTGTATACATAATAAATACATTTTTTTAAAAAAGAAGCCATGCTTCTCTCTGTTCTTTAGTTTCTAAAATCCCTTTAAAGGTTTTGTCATTCTACGTGGAAATTAAATCCTACTTCTGACTACCATAAGTGTGCATTGCCATGCCCAGCTAAGTAAATAATTTTTCTTTTTAAAGATTTATTTATTTATTATGCATACAGGCCAGAAGAGGGCACCAGACTACATTACAGATGGTTGTGAGCCACCACGTGGTTGCTGGGAATTGAACTCAGGACCTCTGGAAGAACGGGCAGTGCTTTTTTTTGTTTGTTTGTTTTGTTTTGTTTTTTTCTAGACAGGGTTTCTCTGTAGCTTTGGAGGCTGTCCTGGAACTCACTTTGTAGACCAGACTGGCCTCGAACTCACAGAGATCCGCCTGTCTCTGCCTCCCGAGTGTTGGGGTTTAAGGAATGTACCACCACCACCTGGCTAATGGGCAGTTCTCTTAACCCCTTAGCCATCTCTCCAGCCCAAGTAAATAATCTTTCAAATGAGAAAATTACTGAGTGTGGTAGCATACACTTCTAACCCTAGTACTCAGGGGGTAAAGCAGGAAGATCATGGGTTTATGGTCAGCCTCAGCTTTCTAGTGAGACAAAAGAGCAGGGGTGATGTTATTTCCCTCATGGAGTGCTGTTTCAATTATTTTTCCTGTTGCTGTGATTAAAAAAGTAAAGCAACAAACAAATGAGAAAACCTAAGAAAAGCAACATAAGAGAAAGGGCGTATTTTATGCTCCTGGTTACAGTTCACCACAGTGAAGTTATGCAAGTAGAAGCTCAAGTCACTTTGTCTGAGAGCTCAGCCCTCTTTTTCCTCTTTTTAAAAACACAGTTCAGGATCCCAGCCAGGGGATGGTGCCATCCACAGAGGACAGGTCTCCCATCCCCGAGACTGACTATCACAACTGCTGGAGTCTGGCAGTGGCAGTGTATGCCTTTAACCCCAGCACATGGGAGGCAGAGGCAGGAGGATCTCTGAGTTCAAGACCTACAAATTGAATTCCAGGACAACCAGAGCTGCTACACAGAGAAACCCTGTCTTGAAAAAAAAAGACAAACACTGTATGATTCTACCAATATAAAATATTGAAGTCTTCCCCATGGAGGGCCTCATCCTTCCTGGGGAGCCGAGTAGGGATTTGGTGGGGGGTTGGGTGGTTGTTGAAGGGCTGGGGGGGTGAGGGAGGAGGGGAAGGAGAGGGAGCTGGGATTGACATGTGAAGCAAGCTTGTTTCTAATTTAAACTTAAAAAAAAAGATAAAAAAATTATTGAAGTCTATGTATACAACTCAGAAGTAGAGTATTTGTCTAAAGTGTATCAGGCCCTGTGTTCAATTCCTAGTATTGTGTAAAATAAAATAAAATAAAATGGATATGTGAAATACTAAACATAGTCAGCTTCACAGAAGCAGAAAGAGTAGATGTGACTCCCTGCTGGATTGGAGGTCACAGGCAACTATTGCCTCATAGGTGCAGAGTTCTTCTTGAATGATGAAAACATTTTTGAAATAGAGATTGTGTAATACTACAGATGTAATTATTGCAGTTAAATTGATGCTTCAGTGTTTTAAGGGGTCTGGGGTGACAACTCAGTGGGTAGAGCACTCGTTGCACTAGTCTGAGGCCCAGTTCAAATCTCCTCTGGCCTCTGCACACGCGCGCGCACACACACATACACGACACACACACACCACACACACACACACACACACACCAAAATGACTGAAAATGGTTTAAGCTGGGTGTGTGGAGAGCTGGAAAGGTCTGAGGGTAGGTCTAGCTGTATAGTGAGCTCAAGGCCAGCCTGAACTATACAATGAGACTCCGTTTCAAAAACTATAGAAAATGAGAATAAACAAACAAAAACTAAAAGAATATGCACAATTTTTAATTCTCATTAAAGTAAAACAAAAGAGGACATTCTGGAAACAAAACAGTGTCTCATTGGTCTAGAATTCAACAAGACAAAGAAAAGAACACGCCGGGTGTTGGTGGCGCACACCTTTAATCCCAGCATTCGGGAGGCAGAGGCAGGCGGATTTCTGTGAGTTCAAGGTCAGCCTGGTCTACAGAGTGAGTTCCAGGACAGCCTCCAAAACAATACAGAGAAACCCTGTCTCGAAAAACCAAAAAAAAAAAAAAAAAAAAAAAAAAAAAACAGATTTCTGGGGGAAGGTCCCGGATGAACTTTCTTCTGGAGTGATTTATTTATTTATTTTTATGTTATGTGCTTCGGTGTTTTGCCTGCACATATATGTTGTGTGAGGGTGTCAGATCCCCTGGAATTGAAGTTACAGACAGTTGTGAGCTGCCATGTAGGTGCTGGGAATTGGGCCAAGGTCCCCTGGAAGAGCAGTCAGTGCTCTTAACCACTGAGCCGTCTCTCTATCCCCAATTTTTTTTTTTTTTTTTTTTTTTGGTTTTCATGAGACAGGTTTTCTCTGTATTGTTTTCGAGGCTGTCGGCCAAATGTTTTTTAGTTTATAAAACAAACACCTTTTTTTGTTTGCTGTTGTTTATTTTTTGTGCTTTTGAGACAGAGTTCCATGTACGCTAAGCTGGCCTCAGACTCCCTGTTGGTTGAGGATAGCCTTGAGTTATCACCCCCTGAGTGCCTGGGTTAAAGACCCACCTGTAGTGTGCTGTGCTGGAATGGAACCAAGACTTCACGCCTGGAGGCGAGCACTCTACCTAACGAAAGCATCTTTTCTGTTTTAATTAAAAGAATTCTTTTCTAGTATTAGAGCCCAAACCCTGGGCCTTGTATGTGCTTGCCGAGCGTTCTACACCACAGCACTGAAATCGCGTTTCTTTTTTCTTCACAGCGTCTGGAATGGAATCCAGAGCTCTGTGTGTTCTGGGTATGTCCTCGACCTGCCGGGTCTCTCCCATCCCATCCAGCCTACGGTAACCAGGGCCCCCTGCCCTCCTTTGGCCTGATGACTTTGACCTGAGGCGGTTGTCCTGACCCTCACTTTTCACCACTGTTGCTCTGCTACGCTTGCTTTTCCGGTCACCTTCTCTGGTCTGTAGCTCAGGCGCCTGGGTTTGTGCGACTGGATGGACAGAGAGCTTCAGGTGTAACGATGCTAGCTTAGGTTGTACCTGTTGGGTTTGAGGGTCGTCGTGAGGCAGTCAAGCACCTTACAACTGTACAGACGGACGACTGTTTTTTTTTTTTTTTTTTTTTTTTTTTTGGTTTTTCGAGACAGGGTTTCCCTGTGGCTTTGGAGGCTGTCCTGGAACTCGCTCGGTAGACCAGGCTGGTCTCGAACTCACAGTGATCCGCCTGCCTCTGCCTCCCAAGTGCTGGGATTAAAGGCGTGCGCCACCAACGCCCGGCCGGACGACTGTTTTGAAGCTGACACACAGCAACTTTGGGGGCCAGGGGACTGTGGATGACTGGGCATCACAATCAGGCCTCCTTCCCTGGAGGGCGGCCTGCTTCTGCTGTACTCTGCCATAGCAGCACTAGGGGGCAGCACAGAACAGTGGAAATGCCCAGACTTGGCTCACAGGCCCTGAGCTGGAATTGTCGGTGTGCACCTTTGCAGCTACTGTGTGAACACAGGCTTTGAACCTCGGTTCTTCCCATAGCGGTTGGGTTCAGCTACTGCTGAGATAGCACATTGTTTACAGTGTGAACTCTGAAGCCAGAGGGCCCTGGATCGCGCAGCTCTACTCCTTAATGGATTTGTGAATTTGGTTAAACCACGGAACTTCACGGTACTTCTGAAGGGTCCGTAAGTGGTAGCACACTAGCCTTTCCCTGCTTGCGGCTTCATTTTCTACAATTTCAGTTACATGTGGTCAATTACGATATTACAGAGAAAGTTCAGAAATAAAGCCCAGTATGGTGACACATACCTGTAATACCGGGATACCCAAGAGGTAGAGGCGGACAGATTACTGCCAGTGGAAGCCCAGCCTGATCGTCTTCATGCCGGATCAGTCAGGGTTAAATAATGAGAGCTTGTCTCAAACCAATCCAAACCAAACCAAACCAAACCAAGTCAAACCAATGAACAACAACAAAAACACCCAAAATACTCACTCACAAAACAAAGAACCCAAATAAAAACAAAGCAAAATCTAGAAATAAGTATTCCATGGGTGTTTTAAAAAGATATTTTAGCTGGGTGTTGCTGGCACATGCCTTTAATCCCAGCACTTGGGAGGCAGAGGCAGGCAGATCTTTGTGAGTTCGAGACCAGCCTGGTCTACAGAGCTAGTTCCAGGACAGCCTCCAAAGCCGCAGGGAAACCCTGTCTCAAAAAATTAAAAAGATATTTTAAAATGTTGGAACTGGAGCGATGACTCAATGGTTGCTCTTGCAGAGGACCCAGGTTTGGTTCCCAGCACCCACATAGTATCTTACAAGGCTTCATAACTCCAGGTATGAATTGTATGCCTTTTTTGACCTTCATGGGCCCAATGCATGCACATGGAGTACATACATACATACATGTGGGCAAAACACAGAAAATTATATAGTATTTTTAAGGTCTGGGGAGATGCCTCAGTGGTTAAGAGCACTGGCTGCTGTTCCAGAGGTCCTGGGTTCAATTCCCAGCACCCATATGGCAGATCACAACTGTCTGTGATTCCAAAGCCCTCTTCTAGCCTCTGCTGGGCACATGGCACACAGATGCACACGTAAGCAAAACACTATGCACCCTAAATAAACTTTAATAAATTTTTAAAAAGATTTATTTGTTTATTGTGAATACAACAGCCTGCCTCCATGTCTGTCTGCAAGCCAGAAGAGGACACCAGATCTCATTATAGATGGCTGTGAGCCACCATGTGGTTGCTGGGAATTGAACTCAGGACCTCTGGAAGAGCAGTCAGTGCTCTTAACCTCTGAGTCATCTCTCCAGCCCGGATTTTAAGAAATTTTAAAATATTAAAATAATAGCCAGGTGGTGGTGACGCACGCCTTTAATCCCAGCACTCGGGAGGCAGAGGCAGGAGGATCTCTGTGAGTTCGAGGCCAGCCTGGTCTACAGAGCTAGTTCCAGGACAGTCTCCAAAACAATACAGAGAAACCCTGTCTCGAAAAACCAAAAAAAAAAAATTAAAAAAATGTTAAATAGCGTGTATATGTATGTGGGGGTATATGTGCATGTGTGAGTGCAGTTGCTCATAGAGACCAGAAGAGGGCACTGGATACCCCAGAGCTTGACTTACAGGTGTTTTTGAGCCACCAACCAACATGGGTGCTGGGAACTGAACTCTGGTCCTCTGCAAGAGCACTATACATCCTTAGCCACTGACCATTCTCCAGTCAATTCATGACTTTATGTGCTATAGAATAACTTTTTTGTACACTGTGACGATTTGCCACTCAGATTGGTTTAATATAATGCTGAACAGCCAATAGCTAGGTAGGGGTTTCAGGCACAGAGGATGCTGGGAAGCAGACGGGTGGAGATGCAGAGAGTCACCAGACAGACAGGAAGCAGTATGGGCAGTACAGAGTAAAGGTAATAAAGGCGTGAGACAGAATGTAAATTTATAGAAATGAGTTAATTTAAGTTATAAAAGCTAGTTAGAAACAAGCCTAAGCTAGCAACTGATCTATAATTAATAATAAGTCTCTGTGTGGTTATTTGGGAGCTGGCCAGTGGGACAGAAAAAGTCCACCTACATGTAAGTTAGGTGCTGTTTTGAGCGGCAGGCTTTGTCCTGGTTCCCAGACACTGTGTGCATGCTACCCTGTCTGTAGCCTCTTGGTAGCCTCTCATATCAGTTGTCTCTACATTGCAGAGCCTGTGCAGAAATCATCCTCTTTTACTTCATTACAGGCCCAAGGTACAAGAACAGCAATGCTGCCCATCCAGGCATGCCACGCAGAAGCTGTAAAGTCAAAAGGTGAGAGTTCTGAGGAGAGGAAAAAAGGTCGTATACATCTGTAACCCCAGCTCTAGGGAGGCCAAGGCAGGCGGATCTCTGTGAGTGTGAGGCCAACTTGGTCTACAGAGTGAGTTCCAGGTCAGCCTACAGAGTGAGAGTGTCTCATCACTTCTCTGACCCCCGAAAGATGTGAGCACTCTGCTTTCTGTTCCAGAGGTCACGCCTGTCACTTTCTGCCACGCTTTCCACCGTGAAACTCGCCCCCCAAAATCTTAACCCAGCGTTGACTCTCCTTCCATAAGCAGCTTCTGGTGAAGGTGTTTACCACAGCACAGAGGGTTAGCTTCCTGTATCCCAGACTGGCCTACTCATTGTGTGGCTGAGGATGACCTTGAACTTCTGATCCTCCTGCCTCCACCTCCTGAGTGCTGGGGCTCAAAATTTAGATATGTCCTGGCCCCGTTTGTCCTGCTTTTGATGCTGTCATGCTGTCCTGGCCAATGAAGCTATATGAAGATGTTCTCTGAAACTAATGGGCAAGAGAAACCCTCTGCCTAGGGGCTGCTGACTAAATGGATCATAAACTAGCTACATGCTCCTTGCACTTGTGGGCACAAGGGAGGCGTCTGTGCATGAGGCCACCAGCAAGGAGAGCTGGGAAACCAAGAGAAACCTGATGGGTGCTGCAAGGGTTGAGCACCTCACACCAACTGTACGCTGTGCTCCCCTTGAACTCTTCATTTTGGTTAGCAGATACATCCTCTTATTTCCCCTTAAGCCTTCGTTTTTTAAAAGCACATTTGTTTTGTATGTATGTGAGTGTGTGCATGTGTGCATATATGTGTGCTGACACACATGTGGTAGTCAAAAGAGAACTTTTGCAGGCTGGAGAGATGTCTCAGTGGTTAAGACCACTTGCTGCTCTTCCAGAGACCCAGGTTCGTTTCCCAGCACCCACGTCAGGTGGCTCACAGGCACCTGCAACTCCAGTCTGTGTGGGACGATCTTTTTGTACATTGCGAAGATGTGTCTTTGCCAAGACACCTTCTGATTGGTTTAATAAAGAGCTGATGGTCAACAGCTAGGCAGGAGGAGGTTAGGCCAGACTTCTGCCAGAGAGAGGAAGAGAGGAGAATCTAGGTGCGCGAGAGATGCCAGAGGAGATGGGGAGGAAGCAGGACATGCAGGGGGAGAGGTAATGTGGCGGCATGTAGATTAATAGAAATGGGATAATTTAAGTTTATAAGAGTTAGTAAGAAACAAGCCTAAGATAAGGCCCAGCTTTCATAATTAATAAGAAGTCTCTGTGTGATTTTTTTGTGAGCTGGTGTCCTCCGGCCCCTGAAGACAGGCATGGTTACATGGTACTCATAAGCACACACATACACATAAATTTAAAAAATGAAAAACTTTTTTTTTTTGGTTTTTCGAGACAGGGTTTCTCTTTAGCTTTGGAGGCTGTCCTCGAACTCGCTCTGTAGACCAGGCTGGCCTCGAACTCACAGAGATCCACCTGCCTCTGCCTCCGGAGTGCTGGGATTAAAGGCATGCACCACCAACGCCCGGCTATGAAAAACTATTTTAACAAGTAAATAAGCAACCTATTTTGCTGTCTCAGCTGAAAATAAAATCTAGGCCAGGCATGGTGGCACAAGTCTATAATTCTAAAATGTGGGAAGCAGAGGGAGGAGAATCTGGAGTTCAAGGTCATCCTTGCCAACCTGTGACTGTTTCCAGAACCAAAACAAATAACTAAAATGATGGGTTAACCACACACTTACCTTTGTAAGACACAGATAACTACCTCGTAAGGGAAGTGTGGACCTAAGAATGCTGCCCAGTGGTAGAGCATCTGCCTGGAACAGGGGAGGCCTTGGGCTGCATCCCCAGCACTGCGTAAAACACAAAACAAAACAAAGAAAGGACTAGCCTGGACTGTCTTACCAAACTACTGACAGGGGCCGGATACTCATTTAGAGTATGTATTGATTCATACTTACACAAACGCAAGTGTATGTGTGTCTATCTTTGCCTTCCATGGTGTTTGAGGCAGGGTCTCTTCGCGGTTTGCGGAGTGCCCGCCAGGCTAGCTGTCCTGTGAGCCTCAGGGGATTCCCTTGTCCCTACTTCCCCTCTCACCACAGGAGTGAGGGAGAGTGAGAGGGGCGGTGACTTCTTCCTCCCAGAAGACATTGCAGGAAGAAATGGCAGGAAGGCACAGGTGTGTGTGGGTTTCTAAACAGAAGCTGCAGGGGTAAGGGACCACCCAGGTCCCTATAAAGCTCCATCCAGAGTGTATTTAGCAGACTCCCAGTTAAGGGCCCCTCTAAGGCTCCCCCTCCCATGACAGAGGGCGCTGTTCTCAGAAGTTCTGTGTCCATCCCATGGGTCAGTCTCCCAGGTGACCCAGCATCCCTTGGCAGGAGCACAAGTCACAGGCACGTACTAGCACACTCTGCTGTATATGGGTTCTGGAGATTCGAATTCAAGTCTTTTTTTTTTAAGATTTATTTATTTATTACATATACAGTGTTCTGCCTACATGCCAGAAGAGGGTACCAGATTGAATTGTAGATGGTTGTGAGCCACCATGTGGTTGCTGGAAATTGAACTCAGGACCCCTGGAAGAGCAGTCAGTGCTCTTAACCTCTGAGCCATCTCTCCAGTCCCCTCGAATTCAATTCTTAATGCTTCCAGGCTGAGTGTTTTATCCACCAAACATCTCCCTGGCCTCACTCTTGCTTCAGAACCTTTCAGCCAGGGATGGTGGCCTTTAATCCCAGCGCTTGGGAGGCAGACGCAGCCGGATCTCTGAGAATTCCAGGTCAGCCTGGTCTACATAGCAGGATCCAGGAAAGCCAGGGCTACATAGTGAGACCCTGTCAAATAAAAAAAAAAAAAAAAAAAAAAGAAAACTTCACCTGAGTCGTTTAGCCTGATTGATCCCATGCGTGTACCGAGGTACTCCTAGCTTTTTACTCCAGTCACCAGCAGCCCTAAGGCACGGTTCACAGCCTTGTACTGCTCTTTCCCACAGCGCTCCCCAGCTCACCACCGCCACTGGAAGCCTGCAGCCGTGTAAGTGAGGAGGACGCACGGAGTGAAGCGAGTGGAGCCTGGTCTCTGCGCCCTGTCACGATAGAGTCTGAATCAGCATCAGACGTCAAGAGAAGCTGGCTCAGCCAGCCTCAGAGGAGGCCTCAAATGCCAGACCTAAAAGCAGATGGCAGGGGTAGTAGAGCTGTGGGCTGGCACCATCATCAGCTGCCTGTCAGGCATTTCAGGCAGATGGCAAGGCATAGAACGCAGAAGCCTATCCAATGTCACTGGCCAAAGTGTCGCAGTTGGCGTCTTACTGATGCTGGGTCCTCACAGGGTACATGTAAGAAAAGAGAAGTCGTTAGGGGACACACAGAGCTTTGAGGGGGTGACTTGGCTGAGCTGAATCCCAGCAGCAGTGATGGGTGAGGAGGACAGAGTGAAATTTGGGAACCCAGGGCAACAGAAGGGGTTACAAGGCCTCACATTATTTGTCTTGTCCAGGCAACCTGGAGCTAAGTGAATGGAATATTCTGGGCTTTCATTTTGTTAATCAGTCAGATAAAGCTTTAGGTCCAATGTCGCCTTAAGGAGGCTCCTCATGGCTGTCCTCACAGGACAGCAATTGGTGCCACCTACGGCATCTGTGGTCCATTTCCTCAGCTCTGGCTTGTTTTCCCAGCCATCACTGTTTTGGCAGCTTAGGGACACAGTGCTTTGTGTGGAAGGGTTCACTGAGTGAGGAAGTGGTACTTGGGTTTTTCTGTAGGGTGCAGGTGAGGAGGTGGCGGCGGTGTGTGTGTTTGTTTCTGTTGTGTGAACTTTGCTTGGGGAGATGAACAAATGTGTACTTGTTCAAAGAGGCAATTCCATCATAGTTGAGTCTGGTAAATCATTGCATTTAATTAGAGGTGCTTATAGGAGCAACCAGGAGGGGTTACTTGTAGGAACAGGGAGACTTATGAGCAACTACACCACTGAAGAAAATGTCTGTACAGCCTCAGAGAGAGGCAGAGCTTCCCAAATCCCTCTCTCCCTCTGTGAAGGAAAGGTAATGGGTCCAGTTTTGAGCAGGTCTCTGACAGATACAGTGGCTGAGAGTTTAAGATGGCCACATCTGTGAACAGCTTTGGTTTGTTTGATTTTTCTGCTTTTTTGATTTTTTTGTTTGTTTTGAGACAGAGTTTCTCTGTGTGTAGCCCTCACCTGCCTCGGCCTCTGGAGGACTGGGATTAAAGGTGTGTGTCACCACCACCCAGCCTCTGTGAACAGTTTTCTACAAGTTTTATTTTGTGTTTTCAGTTTGAGACATGGTCTCACTAAGTAGCCTAGGCTGGCCTTGAACTCACTATGTAGTCCAGGCTGACCACAGACTTGACATCTTCCTGCCTCCTTCCTCAGTGCTGGGATTGCAGATGTGCACCACTATGCCCTGGCCGCTCCAGCACAGGCCCCGCTGCTTTCTGCACCCCCCCTGACCTCACTGCACAGTGCCTTAGGCTTTTGTCATTCCAGTCCCCTTATCTCATTTCTCCTTCGGCCACCATCCTACCCTATAGCTTTAAGTACCATCTGTATGTTGATACCACCCGAACTTAGATCTCCACACCAGACACAGGATTTCTCTGTGCAGCTTTGTAGACCAGGCTGACCTCGACCTCGAACTCACAGTGCCTCTGCCTCCCGAGTGCTGGGATTAAAGGTGTGCGCCACCACCGCCCAGCTCCACAAATCTTTTTTTTATTGTAAATCATATTTATTTGATTGTGTCACACACATGCAGTGCAATGGCACACATAATGTCAGGGGACACCTTCAGGAGTCACTTCTCTTCCACTAGGTAGGCTCTGGAGATTGAACTCAGGGAGTCAGGCTTGGTTGGAGATGACAGCCCTTATCCACTGAGCCATCTGGCCGGCCCCACCCAATCTGTACACCTACCTGTCACCTACTCCTCATGGATTTCCAGCTGGGGCTTCCCACAGGTTCCTCTATCTTTGTGCAGAGTCTAGCTGCAGATGCATTTCCTTCTCTCTCTCTCTCTCTCTCTCTCTCTCTCTCTTTCCCTTCTTCTCTCCTTTTCTTTTCTTTCTTCTTTTTTTTTTTCCCAAGACAGCTCTGACTGTCCTGGAACTCATTCTGTAGACCAGGTTGGCCTTGAACTCATAGAGATCCACCTGCCTTTGCCTTCAGAGTGCTGTGATTAAAGGTGTGTGCCACCACCACCTGGTGTGGAATATCATTTTAAGATGTATTACAATTGTTTATGCTGTGGAACATTTGCTTAATGATGCAAAGATGTGTTGCATTCTTTTGTATTGCATTTGCTTAACTCTGTGAAGCTGTTACTTTGCCTGTCTGAAACACCTGATTGGTCTAATAAAGAGCTGAACGGCCACAGCAAGGCAGGAGAAAGGCTAGGCGGGGCTGCCAGGCAGAGAGAATAAATAGGAGACTCTGGGAAGAAAAGATCAGGGATAGAGAAAAGAGGGGGCCAACCACCCAACAACACAGCCAGCCACGGAGTAAGTAAAGGAAGATATACAGAAACAGAAAAAGGTAAAAGTCCAGAGGTCAAAAGGTAGAGGGGGCCGGGCGTTGGTGGCGCACACCTTTAATCCCAGCACTTGGGAGGCAGAGGCAGGCGGATCTCTGTGAGTTCGAGGCCAGCCTGGTCTACAGAGTGAGTTCCAGGACAGCCTCCAAAGCCACAGAGAAACCCTGTCTCGAAAAACCAAAAAAAAAAAAAAAAAAAAAAAAAAGGTAGAGGGGATAATTTAAGTTAAGAAAAGCTGGCAAGAAATAAGCCAAGCTAAGGCCAGGCATTCACAAGTAAGTAAGTTCTCTCCATGTGTATTTGTTTGGGATCTGGGTGGCAGGCCGCTAAAGAGCAAAAAGAGTAAAACATAACCAGCTACACTAACCCGTGTCTGGTTGTAACCAGTGCAGAGATTACAGTGAGAGCCGCCTCATCCCAGCCCCTCCTACACAGCTCCGTGCTGCTTCCTGCTACCCCACCCCAGTATTCCACAACTTAGTCTTTGACACAGACTACTCCCTACCTGCCAGGGATAGGGTCATTCAGGGCGCATGTCCACGTGGAGGTCAGAGGTCAATCACGGAGTGGCGCTTTCCTTCCGCCTTCACATGGGTTCTCGGGGTTGAACTTGAGCCATAGGGCTTGCATAGCAAGCAGGCACTTTTACCTGTGGAACCCATCAGCCAGCTGTAACGTAAATCCTTGACCCTGATTTCTCCACCAAACCTGCTTCTCCCCGTTCTCCTCTCTGAAGAGAACACCATAATCTAGCTGCTGTTTTTCAGGCAAAACCAGAGGTCAAGCCCCCGCTCCCCCTCCCCCTCCCCCCTTCCCCCCTCCTCCGCCCCCGCCCCACTAATCCGTTCTCAAGTCCTCTCTTTCCAAACTGAACCCTAACCCATCCGCTTCCATCCTTGCCATTAGGTCTGGTGCTGTCCTCTCTCCCGAGGATTACTGCAGTAATCTCCCTCCCCCCTCGCAGCCCTCCCTTGCCCCCTCCAGTCCAGTCTCTTCGCTCTACCTAGCAAAAGCTTCATCTATTAGAAATGAATCAGATCCGGTCAATCCCCAGCCTAATGGCTCTGCCTGCCCAAAGTCACCTGAAGTTCAGGCTCCATTTCAGAGCTTGGAGGGGGGGGTCCTCCCAGTGTGTGTGTGTGTGTGTGTGTGTGTGTGTGTGTCCTCCCATCTTCCTGCAGGCTCACCAGATGAATGAGCACACTGACTTTCCTGCCCCAAGGTCGTCGCACTTTCTTTTTTTTTTTTGGTTTTCCGAGACAGGGTTTCTCTGTGGCTTTGGAGGCTGTCCTGGAACTCACTTTGTAGACCAGGCTGGCCTCGAACTCACAGAGATCTGCCTGCCTCTGCCTCCCGAGTGCTGGGAATAAAGGCGTGCGCCACCAACGCCCGGCACGGTCGTCGCACTTTGTATTATTACTTTTTCTCCAGGAAGTTTCTCTCCCCAGTTTGCCCATCATCATCCTTCAGGTCTCAGCTAATGTCACCTTTGTAGAGGAAGCCCTAACCTACTCCCTTTCTATCAAGTCACTAGTTTCTTCCTGATTTCCCTGGGAAGCACCGAGGGTTGGTTCCAACACTCCTGGGGTGTGACACTCACCACTCTCTCTGTCCTTCTGTGGATTTACCTATAGAATGCCACCGGCAACAGCATCTCTGGGAGCCATTCCTGGCACAGAAGAAACATTCAGGAAGTATCAGATATTTCATTATCCTTTAAGGCACATTTCCTGGGATTTTTTTTCTCTTCTGAGATGAGATTTGTCAAACAGGGATCTCCTATAATCACACAGTGGCTGTTCATACAGGAGGTGTTTAATTGGGCTGTTGAATTAATACATGATAGGAGGCATTTTATCACCCCTTTGTCCTGTTTATCTTTCAATACCAGGCTGTTTTAGTGATGTGAAACCTGGAACTCTGCCTGCAGATGTAGCTCAGCCTAGCATGCAGTGAGTCTAAGTTGGATGCAAAACAAAAAGGTAATTAAAAAAAAAAAACAATGCCCTCCCCAGGAAAAGAAACAAAGAAAGAAAAAAGCGAAAACCTGAGATCCTACGGGGGGACTTGAGTGCCTGTAGAGGGAAGGAACACCATGTCTACTTGTCAGAAATGTGACAAGATATCAAAAGCATGTGACACCTGCTGCCTATTGTGAAGTCACACCCTTTTATTCCAGGAAAAATAAGTAGGGCAGAATTTTCATCACAGAAGAGATTAGAAACAAAGAAAGCCTGAGCTCTCCGGATGCAGCAGCAGGCAGACTGCAGGCTGTGGGCTACATGACATTGGCAGTGTACTTGTGGCTTGCTGGGGAAGACATCCAGTCTCCTGTCCAAATACCATCTCCTGCTCCCTTAGGAACCAAAGGCCTCATATTACCAATGCAGGAACAGAGGCCCGTGAGAAGGCAGTGCTTAAGCAAATGTGAATGAAACCCAAGGCAGGATTCCTTTAAGCCTTAATGGATTCCAAAGCTCTCTATATGAGATGGAAAGAAAGAGCAGGTGAGAGAGAGGAAGGAAGAGGGTGAGAAGGAGGATGAAGTGTCTATTGGCAGGTGGGGGTGCTGACAGGTGTGGGGGCAACCAGAGACCTTGGGGACATATACCGGCAAGGGGGGGCTGGAGGCTGGGACCTGACTGCCTTATTTTCAGAACTGCTATCTTTATCTGCATCTGCTAAATTATTAAACTGCCATCACATCCTCCAGGGTGTCAGGCCAGCTTGCCAGGAAGATGCATAAGGGGTGGGGGGTGGGGTTGGAGCTTTGTGCTGGGACTGGAATCTTCTAGGCTGGAGTAGAAGTGGACGCCTCAGGCCTTCATCCCTTGTCTTATCCCATGCTCAGCTGATTGAGGTACCTGACTGGGACCACAGGCTACTCCCTGCTCTATCTCTCACAGTCCCCTCCCCATAGGGGACACACACACACACACACACACACAC